ATTGTTCGAATTTCGATCGATCAGATTCGTGCCAGAAATTTGTGACTTTCAGATTTAAAGTCTTATTCAAGGGAGCTTGGGGTGGAATCAACTAGCTAGGGGTCCTTTTGTATAGGGTTTGACCTTATTTACAGCCCAAAAGTCACCTATAAATAGAAGATCAAGCCCATTTGACAAGGGGATTTTGGATTTATAGTTTTGGGGATGAAATTGAGGAGTTCTCTCTATTTTCTCTCTCTAGGGTTGCTCTCATAGTTGAAGAAGAATGTGAAGCTAAGCATAGAGATGAATGACATCCATCGTCTCTATAACCGGCTAGATCTTCACTTAGGACTTGGATAAGCCTTAAGCTTATATAATTGTATCTTTTGTCTTTCATTTTTGGGGATTATAAGTTGTATATGTTACTTGGTTGTGTGGATCCAAACTTGGTTGTACCAAGATTTGTTTTGATAAATTATTCCAATTAATCTTATCTTTGACTATATGTTTTTTTTTAGAATTTTATAAGTGGTTGATGGTTGATTGATCTTTAATGTCTGGGATTTTTCTGGATTTCTTTTTCAAATTTTTATTATAATTATTTTTTGTACCTTGTTTTACGTGTCACATGGGCCCCGAGGGCCGTTTCAATCATTTTTCAAGCCAAGGGTTTTCATTTTTATTTATTTTAAGTCAATTAGAGGTGACTTGTTTATTTTATTAGTGAGGGAATAATGAGGTAGCTTTGCAAAAAGGTGGGATCAGCCACAAGATGACATATGGCATGAGGTGGTTCATGGAGACAATTGCAAGAGAAGTTAAATCATTCTTTTCCTCTCCATTTTCGGGCATCATCTTCCTCTCTCCATCTCTTCTCTTTCTTTCACTATATCTACACAAGTCTATGCACGTATACGTCTTCGATGATAAAAGCTTCATTTTGAGAGGGTTAAGCTAGAATTTTGGTGAAGCCATAGAAGGAGAAAATGAAGAGCATGACAAGGGCTTCCAATTGAGACCAATATTGTAAGGGCTTGGGAGGATTTCGAATTAGGACTTGCATTAAGGGCTTGTTTGGCTAAACTAATTGAGGTAGGGGTTTTCCTAATACTTCAAAGCTTTGCCTTTCATTGAGTATCAATTCTTGTTTTCCTTGAAATTCTCTATAAGTGTGAAATTGTTAAATTAAAGTGACTATGTGTTAGTGTGAAGAAGACATGCTAATAAATGATGTGTAGTTGTATTCCTTTTTATGTCAAAGACATGTGTGATATTATTCTAGGGAAGACTTTTTTTAATTTGTGTTCAAGACATGCTATTATGTGGACAAAAATGTGATCAATTTCATGTTAAGTATGTGTATAACATGGCTTTGGTGCAAAGTTGTTAAAATGATGAATATAGTATGGCTGAGATGATAGGAGATTTGTGATGAAAATGCTTGAAATTAATATATAGACAATGTTATGCTTGTGTTCATTTTCTTTAGAGAAATGTCATGTTATGCCATGATTATCTTATAAGTGAAGTTAAGGTTAATTTGATGCAATTACATTCATATGCATGGCATAGTGGAAATATTGAATGAGAAAGATATTTGAGCCATTTTTGAATGGTGGAAAAAGTTGGAAAAGATTGATAAGTTAGCCATCTTAGGATGGGGTGGGAAAGATGAAATTTGAAATAGACTGGGTATCACGAGCCCAGTGCTAACTCAACCTAGAGGGAGCGCAGTCCGGTGTAGGACGTGAAATACTAGGCCCTAAATAGCCATGAGTTGGTTAGCGTAGGTGGGAATTGGGGTCGATTTGGGACCAAGTATGGGAACGGACTTGTATTGCATTGCATTCGCATTCAAAGTTGTATCAATGCTATTGTTTTCATTAAGATGTGGTTTAAATTCCGTAAAATCCCCTAAGTATGATCCCGGCTCTCTTTTATCCCCAATGTGTGATGTATGGCTCACGAGAGTCCAAAGTTGGTACCTTAGGCATCCTCTACTGAGCGATGGTGCTCACCCCTTATTTTAAACAAATTTCAGGTCTTGGAAGTGACGGAGTGGATGATTCCCTTCATATGCTAAGGCATAGTTAGGGAATTAGTTGGTATTTTGTAATCTATGCCGATTCTTTGTAAAGTTTGGGCACAATCTTGTTTTAAATTGTAATCATTGTAATGACAACGTAGCCTTACTCCTTTAAATTTGTAAATTTTTAACTTTAAACATTCTTTTGTAATTTAATGAATGGAGTGAAATATTTGAGAACGAAACTCAATTCAAAAAGGAGTTTTTAAGTCAATTTATTTTGCAATGTATTTTTGGTCATGTGGAGACCTTGGAATTATAGTTATATTCTTTTGGACACATTTTGTATATTACCGGATGTAATTAGATTAAATTTTATTATATCTTTACATGTGGATATAGATTGTATATTTTATATCACGTGTGTGTGGATAAGCCTATAATTATATTAACGTGCCTTTTGTTTGAGTATGTAAAAATCAAAGAATTATTTGGGTTGTTTTACGTAAGTGAATATAGATATGTATATATATATACGTATCTATACATACAATGGTGGTAAATGAGTGGTATTTTAGTGGTTGTGTATGTGGATATATGTCAAATAAGAAGCAAAGAATTATAAACCTGGCAAGTTTTGGTCGACGTGAAATTACCACACGTCGATCGATATTAGGCAGTGTACAATTACACTGTTGAAGGCTAAACCAGTCGACATGAAGTAACCACACGTCGATCGAGTTTCCCAAAATAGTCCCACACGTCGACTGTGTTCCCCAAAACAGTTGACGTGTGGGTATCACACGTCGATCGTTTCCTGCTTCTTCTTCCCTTGTTATTTATTTTCCATTTTTGCCCCTTCCTACTCAGTTAAGGTTATTCTATTGTACCATGGACTCTATAATGATGTAATAATAATGCCTTAGATGTGAAAATGATCATAGTACCCCTCGGATGTCATTTTAATTATTGTATGACCTTAGCAAATAATGGTCTTACCCTTTTTGGATTATAATCCATTATAATTTAGTTAAATGAGCATTTTTCCCTTGTTGGGCCTCAAAGTATTAATTTATTATGAAATAACCTTAGTACCCTTGCATATCCTTGGGTTTGGGTAAGGATTCGGTTAGCAATTAGGACCCCCCGGTTCGGATCGTTACAGATTTGGTATCAGAGCTTGGTTCGAATACACTTCGGACGACGGGTAATGGCTTACCTAGACGAGGTAGAGACTTGACTGCATCTTTCGTGTTAAAGTGTTTATCGTTTTTAAGAAGCATGCTTACTTACTAAGTGCTTACGTGTTTAAGTGACGGTATAAGTTAAATGCATGGCCATATAAATGAAAGGTGTGTGTAATTTGATAGCATGTTTATGAAATGTTCATGTGTGAATAGTACATGTGATAAATGAAATAATTAGTCTTTTAAAGCATGATCATTGGACTACGTGTTTACTTGTTATGTTGCTTGTTAATGATGAAAGCATGTTATACGTGATAATATGACAAGTGGTTAGTATGGGTTATGACAAGTATGTTATGCGGACAAATATGCACAACACACACTATATCCCAAAACACAAGGAAATTACTAGGTTATAAATATACTACACCCTACCCCACTCTAGGATAGCAAACCTAGAAATCCTGAAATGAAGAATGCTCCAAATCCAAAACAAATGGAATCTTTTGTTGAAAAGGGTGTCTCCGACCTTTCTTCTTTCTATGGTGTGCCCAAAATCCGAAAGGAGAATGATGATAATGGAGATATAATGTTGAAGATGAAGGGATAATAAAGATAGAGGAGAGAGAGAATGGTTGGCAGAAATGAGAGAGAAATGAGACGATAAAGTCATCCTCTCTCTCTTCACATGCCCAAATATCTAATAGTAGTCTTCAATCTCAATGTGACCCTTCCAAAAACCAAAAATGACGCTAATAGCCCCAAAAGTAAAATAAATATATACATGTGTATGAAATACCCCAAAAATGTTATAAGTGATTAAATATGCCCAAATAGAATGAATGAAGTGTTGGAAACTATTCCCGAACACTTGACCTGGCTTGGGTTCACGCAACTTGAAAATGATAATGCAATAAAATAAATATGAAAAAGAAAGATAAAAAGGGCATAGTCCTTACAGTCTCTCTCATGGGAAGACCCATGAGCTTTCCTATTTTGTAACTTAAATGCATTAAATAATTGATTTGACTTTCACATATGTCAAACAATTGTTTCATCCAATGGTTTAATAGGAAGAACTCATGACTTTTCTCATGAAAGCGGCCTCCTAGGAGCATTACTTTCTCTTTATGTATCATGGGCTTGAACTATTGGGCTTTGCAAGGAGTGAAATGATTCGAGTTGAGTTGGGCCTAATAAAAGTTTATGATGATTAAATAATTATTTAGCTAGGCTTTTGTAGGTTAAGTTAAATATATAACATATCTCAAATTTTATATTATACATACACACACACACACACACACACACACACACATATATATATATATATATATAAATTTTACAAGCCCAAAACGAACACTTAAAAAAGCATGTTCATGAACATGTCCGTGAACAAATGAAAGAGTATAAAGGTGTTTTAGCTTGGCTCAATTAATAAACTAGTCCAATAATTTCTTTTGATCTATATTAACTTAGTAAAATAAATAAACACCAACTGAGCTCGAGCTGAACCAAATAATTCATGAACTGCTTATATGCACGGACCTTCGTATATACATATTTTTAAGTCTTATTTTAAAAAAATTATATACTAATGAAATTTTAGTGTTACTCCCCCAAATTACAAAAAAAATCTCACTTTTGCCCCCCTTCTTGCACTTTTGTAAATAAGTGGAAGACGGGTCATGATACTATTCAATTCTCTATGTTAGTGATTTCAAACTCTACAAATACGCGTGAAATCAATCTGATGCGGGGCCCACTTTCCGTGAAAGAAACGTCTACAGGAAGAACAGAGATTACACTGAACGAAAGTCGTTCGAAAATACCTTTCGAAAATAAGAAAGTCGTTCGATAAACCATCACCAAATATCTCTAGCGAAACGATTCAACGACTCTCTCTGGCTTTCTCTCTCTCCTTCTTTACAGATATATTTAGCAATTCTAATAAATCTCACGGGTACGCTTCCTCGGAACTCAACCTCTTGGATCAACTGAAATTTGTTTAAACTTTCACTATTTAGGTTTCGAAATTCTGGTTTTGAGGGTATGTTTACATTTTAACTGAGCATGATTCACGATTTAGGGCTTATTTATCAGTTTCTTAGTATTTTCGATCTTCTATGTAGATGTATACATATATGAGTTGAATATGTGTGAGCTGTCATTGAGGGTTGGTGTTAGTATTTCTATTAGCGGATCTTTATAGTGTGAAGAGTTTTTTGAAGTTTGAATATCATGTTGAACTCTCATATTTGAATCTTATATCGAGACAGGAGCCAGATTGGTTCTGACTTTTGATGCTTAGGCTCATATTTATTTACAATTTTTGCTGATGAAATAATGAAACATATTCCTAGGTACGAGATAGAGTTGTTGGATCCTTTTAAGATATATAGATTCTTCAATTACACACGACTATATGAAAATCGTCTTCGAAATTGCAAACACCCCCCAAGTTAGAGAAAAGGGAACATCATCTTCTGTTCCATGTACAATTCGATCAGAACCAATTCCACCAAGAATAAATCACACCGAATTGTATGTAGCATTGGGGCTCTTTGTTATCTGTCCAGGTAGTTAATCCTTGCAAAGTTCTTCATTTATGAATGGCTGTTTGTCCTCAACAACATTATCACCTCAGTAAGTGTAAATTCCCATTAATAGACCAGAAAGCAAGCCAGGATAACTCAAATGCCAAGAGAATACATGGGACCTAAGGGAGGAATACTTGTTGCAACCTGCTGTAGATTACAATTACTGATCTCAAACATGTGTTTTGTCCATCTTCTCCTCTAGTGAAACGAGATTCCCATTTAGAAAATCCTAAAAGGATCCCTTAGAAAACAAACCTAAGATTGGAAAACAGTAGGAGAAATTTGAAGGTTGGATAAGAAGATGCAATTACAATCCATAGATAATTGGAATGAGGTAACAAAAGATACAGTAATAAATTAACTTCGCAAGTGTTAGTGTGATTTTATGAATGCCTCAAAAGATTAAAGCCAACAAAAGTGTGTTTTGGGTGGGGGGGGGGGGGGGGGGGGGGGGGGGGAGAGACCCAGAAATTGGATAGAATTAAGATGAATGAGAGAGAGATTGGAGATACTTCAGATATTGAGAACACACAATCTTTGGAGGCAAAAATGTTCTTGTTGAAAAAAAGAAGTGAATGAAAGATCCCATTGATTTGAATTGGGTCCATGAATCTATGAAATAGTGAGTGTTGCCCAAGTCAAATTCTACTAAATCCTTCTAACAATTATGCTATAATCAAGATATAAACATAAGCAATTAATAGCATAAATATAAATGAGATAAGGGAAGAGAGATTGCAAACATTCACACGGCGATTTTAGCGAGATTCGGAAACTCCTACTTCTCGGCTCAAGACCCCTCTTGAAACTTCCCAATCTACTAGTGCACCTCCTTACGGGTGGAGAGCAAACTTTTTACAAGAAACTCTTCTTTGCTTCTAAGTGCTAAGAGAAACACCTTCTATTAGCCTTCCTTGGGCCACACCAACCCTTACAAATTTGAAGCCAACTAGCTTCTTCTTCCTTTGCTAAGAGAACACCTCTTCTTAGGCTTTACAATAGATTTGAATATCAGATTTTCAGTACAAGATAATCTCTCACAGATTTGTAGTACAAAGTTTAAGCTCACTCTAGAGTATATATATGAATACAATGAAGCTCAATACTCTTCTAATGATATGGGATATATGAATATAAGAACAAAAGCTCTTTAGATGCTATATGATGTTTCTTCATGGTAGCAACCCTTAATCCCGAAGTCCCCTTACTCTATTTATAGAGTTTCAGCACCTAATTCAAAATTAGAGCTGTTGTGCACACAGTTCAAGGCAAAATAGCCGTTCAGATTCGAATCTGGGCAGGTTCGGTCGACCGAAATGAAACACCATTGTGTTTCGGTCGTCCGAAATGGTTTAAGTTGGCTATGATTCTTTATTTCGGTAGACCGAAATAATTCACCTTTTTTTTTCGGTCGACCGCAACTCCTTCCTCCATTGTTCCAAACCATTCTGTGAGAATCGGTTGTCCGATTTATATAGCTACTTTATTTCGGTCGACCGAAATAACTCGCCTATGCATTTCGGTCTGCTGAAATGAAACTGCAGCTCCAAGAATTTTGTTCTAAGTTAACAGATGAAACAGTCTGTGCAAAGGACATCTGTTAACTTAGAAAAAAATACTAGAAAATTGAAATCCAACAAAATCAAAATGTAAAAATTCAGTTTTAGTACAAATATGGATTTCCGACAGTTTTGGTAAAAATGAATCCTTATGTAGACCAATGTAGACTTGTCAAAAATTCTAATAAAATCAATTTAGGCTAGTTGAAGTATAAAGAGTTATTACCGAGAAAAATTATTTTGAAATAATTATTATTTTAAAAATCAATTTTTCACACTTAGCCAAAAACACAGTTTTTTTCATGACCCGCATTCTGGGGTCCTAATGTCCGTTACCAACTCATGATAATGATGGCTTCTCATGCCTTATTTAGTGTTCAATTTGAATTTTATGATTGATGTGCATGGTCTTAGCATTTCTAGCACAAGTGATGAATTCTTTCAAAGCTTATGCAAGCTTGAACTAACTCATTCTTTAGTAAAGACTCCATATGTCAATTGTACATGAAAGAAGTGCATAGTCTATTGCTAATGGATATAGGAGCATATGAATGATGATATGATATGCATGGTCCTATAGAGATGAGTTTCAAATGGATTCATAAATACTTTGACATTGAATCATAAACACTCACCATCCTATCTACCCCTTTCTTCACGCTTTGTCCATGATCTTGTTGGCTTTCAGGTAGACTTGCTTTCTTCCTTTCTTTGAGTTGCTTTCTTGCTCGTTGTAGTCCAAGCTATCTTTGGATGGACTTTGCATTTGGTTCCTTGCAACTTCATGTTCCTTTTGTCTCCTTTGCTTTCCATAGATGTGATCTTGAGTAATGGAATACTTGGAATTGACTTTATGATCTTCATTGAGGTCATCCTTTGAATGTGAATAATCTATAACACTCAATGTAAACATTAGTCCTTAAACACCATTAATGGTTTGTTATCATCAAAACCTTTAGATTGTCCTTGGATGAAATCCTTAAGGTCAACAGTGAGAATTCTTGATCTCTCTCAATTCGAAAATTGAGAGAGAGATGCTGTCTTCTACATCCCCTTTACTAATGACTATCTGCAAAAAGATTAATAAGATTCCTTTAAACGGTCTTAGGTCTGATATGTGACCCGGACAATCTGTTGTAATCTGAATGACTCCGACAACTTCACTGGGCACAGAGGAAAGTCGTTGACAGCATGGAGAGAGATGTAGTATTTCTTTTATTCTAATGCTATGTTTAGGAGAGTTTGAACTAAATTTCTTTCAATTCCAATTCCAAGGCCCCAGTTCAGTGCTCTTAAACGCAACATAAAGGTACTTACGTTCATTTAAATAAAAACTTTAGACATAATTCCCATTGAGCGTGTTATTGTTTCATTATTAAGTTCCCATCACTTAAAATTTTGGCTCTTTGATATCCAAATTGATGTAATACATGAATGGGCAGACATGAACAGTGCTCGGGGACAGTGTTTTCTATTTTCTGTTTTAGGACAGTTTTCATTGTTATAAAAAAACTAAGAGTTTTTCTCAATCTCTTTTTGTGGATTCGAGTGTTTAAAGAATACGTTGCTATTCTTAATTATTTTGTTTACTTTCATTGATCCGTTGCGTCAAGTTGGAATCAGAGCCATTCTCTATGGACGGTGATCAGGGAGAACGTGCGGTGACTATGGGAGAATGTCAACAATTGCATCAGGAACTCAAACAGGAGATTTAGACGGTAGTTGAACGTCTAACTGAACCCATGAATCGCGTGCAGGTTCGTAATAGGCTTGATCAGGACCAACTTGATGGTGTGAATCAGCCACGACAAAGGGCTGGAAATCAACGTGGTCATCTTTAGCGTGCTAATAATCAACGCCAATTTCAACAAGACATCTGGTCTAATTCGAGTGATGATCAGATTGAAGGTATTGCTCTAGCACATGGAGATCACGGGGTTGAAGCAAATCATCGAGATTTTCGGATAAAAACTGACCTTCTGTCTTTTAGTGGTCAACTTGATATTGAAGATGTCATGGGCTGGCTTGAAGAAAGTTGAAGACTTTTTCGAGTATTTTGAGATACCCGAGAACAAGCAAGTTCCGCTTGTAGCCTTTAAATTTAATGGATGGATTTCAGCTTGGTGGAAACAAACACAGATTAATCGGAGGAGGCAAGGAAAATAGCCTGTGCGATCGTGGTACAAGATGAAACGGCTATTGATGGCTAAATTTCTGCCACCAAATGGTGAAGAGTTTATGTTTAAAAAATATCAAAATTGTGGAAAAGAGAATCCATCTGTCAAAAGATCTACAGAAAAATTTTACAAAAAAGAGAGTGATATCAAGAAAAATCAAAATAATTTTGTTCTAGTAACAAGTGATCAAGTGATGTTATGGAGGTTGATCAGAAAAAAAATTTGTGTTGCTCCACTTCTTATAGTTGAAGACGATGCAATTAAGGAATTTGACACACTAAAAGAAGATAGTGACAAAAAGTTTGATGATGAATTGAACAGCAGGGATTAATAGTTGATCAACCGGGCAATGAAATTTCCAAATTAAATGTTGAAGACGACGTGAAAGAGTTTGTCGGTGAGGTAGCAAAATTAGACACTACAATGGTTAGTGACAGAACAAAGAAATTTTGTTTCAGTAAGCTTTCTATTGCCCCTAGTCTTGTCACAATGGGCCCCATTAACCATTCCAACTCTAGTGTCTGACTGTCTGGGTTTTTCCCAAAATCGTGTGTACCAACAACTTCCATCTTTCATCACAGGAGGCTTATAAGTTTAGAGATGGTCTAATATATTTTAATAAGCCAATAATGACAGAATTTGATAGAAGTACTGTGACTTTGTTTCCGAAGACTACGAGATTGAGGTATCTTGTATACTTTGCTCCGTACCACTATACATAAGAGGGGGCCACTCTCCAAAAAACTCGGGTGTGAGGGCTCACATGGAAACCTCTCCAAGCATCAATCAATCCTCTCGTAGACCTAGGTATAACCCACTGAACACCGAACAAGCCGAAAATAAGACTCCAATAGCCGTGAGCCACGGGGCAATGCAATAAAAGGTGATCAACTGTCTCCCTATTCCACTTGCACATACAACACCAATTCACAGTAACCTTTCTTCTCATTCTCAGATTATCTAGTGTCAAAATCTTGCCCTAAAATGTTGTCCAGGAAAAAAACAGACCACTTTGAGAGGTTTCTTCGATTGCCACACCGCCTTCCAGGGAAAGTCAGACCTTGAAAATCCCGTGAGGCAATAAAAAAGAGATCGGACATCAAATCTTCCTTTGGAAGAGGGAATCCAAATGAGAGAATTCGGCCCTGCACCATCTATCTCCCTCCTATATAAGAGCTCCAAGAAAGCAAAAACATTATCCACTTCCCAGCCTTCAAAATGTCTTAGAAAACACACATCCCAATTAATCCTCCCATTATCAAGACGATAACAGTCGGCAATCACGACATGTGTATTGGGTGCAATCTTGAAGACCTTGGGAAAGGAACAAGCCAAAGGATAGTCTCCGCATCTTTAGTCCTCCCAAAAGCTGATGCTTCTACCATCTCGAACTCTGAATTTGATATGGAAAATTAATCCCGACCATTCCTAATGAATTTCCAAACACCCACACCTCCGGCACAAGAAACTGGACGAGAGCACCACCCGCCTATCTCCTCTCCGTAACGACACGAAATGACTCTCCTCCATAATCTGTGTCGCTCACTGCCAAATGTCCACAACCACTTACCAAGGAGAGCCCTATTGAAGGGTAGCAAACTTTTGACACCCAAGCCACCCAACTGAAGAGGTCTACACACCTGCTCCCACCGAATAAGATGATACTTGAATTCCTCTCCCATGCCACCCCATAGGAAGTTCCGTTGAAGCCTCTCTTGTTAACAACCATCTACTCTAAAAGCTTAAGCTGTTAGAGAGGGTGTAACTTAATTATATAATCCTTCAACACGACTCCTCACGTGTGGCCTTCTTTTGGTCCAAACACATGTTTTTCAATTTTTTATTAGTATGACGCTGAGGTTTGAACTCGAGACCTTTGGCTTTGATACCATGTTAATAATCATCTAGTCTAAACACTTAAGTTGTTAGACAGGGTGTAGCTTAAATATATAGATTCTTCAACATCTCTATCTTTTCAGCCACCAAGGAGGGGATTTGAAGGGAAACAACCCCCTGAAGAGCCTTGAATTCCTTTCTTATATGTTCAGGATTCAGAATTAAGTACTTAATTCAATTATCAAAGAATACTCAAGTGTTTTTTCCCCTCTTAATCTAGTTGGAATATGTGATTTGTTTGAACTTTGAACTTGCTTGTAAATATGTTTAAGTGACTATAGTTTATGGTTCATGATTTGCAGGCATTGTAACTGAGAGGGACTCTGGATACGTTAGAGCCAAACTTTTTGCTTCATGGCAAGAATAAAACCTCAAACTTTACTACTTCAAAGCAAAAAGAAGAAGGGACCTACTCGTATTAGTGTCACTACCATTATTTTATGCAACTTGATTATCGTGTTGATAGTATTGTCCTTGGTTGCTACATACAGGCATTGGTCTCAAAGGTTTGTTGTTTTCTTCTTAATGATGTCAGTACATCAATGCATGTTACTTTGATCATATGGCATTTTCGTAGATTTTTTCCAGAAATGAAAGTCTACAAATTTGTTCCAACTAAGAAGAACTCTATTGTTAAATTTCTAAGATATGCCAGTGCGCTTGTAGGTCAAGATACCAAGCGAGGACTGAATTTTCAAATTTTGAGGTACCTTTTAAGAATCCAATTTTCCATTTCCGTATTTGTTTGTTTATTTAAATAACAGCCATAAGGAACTCGAGTTTTTTTATTACCAAGTTAACTTATCTCTGCTAGAATTTGTTGAATTATTTGATGAATTGCAAAAAGTGCTAATGTAAAGGCCATACCCATAGTTACTCAGTTTATTCCATATTGCGGGGAGCTGAATTTTACATTTTATTTTTGGAATTCCCAATCGCCATTAGCTAGACTTTTTGTTATGTATTCCTTTGCCTTTTGATGATCCTATTGATTATTAATGTGACACATAGTTGGGAAATGGCTTTGTCGAGTTTACTATCTTTATTATTCTTTTCGTTTCTAATTAACAGCAGTTCCAAATAAATGCATATGTCCTTAAGCATATTCCATTTGTGTTTCAGGATACTGATTCGTTTGTAGATGTAAAGAAGTACGATCTCCCTGGTTATGCTGTAAGTTCCTCCAAAAATTAATTGTTTGCTTGCTTTTATGTTTTTCAGTTCAAATGTTACCTTCCAGAGCTAGAGGTTATAAATTGATGCTAGTTGTGGACCTTGTGGTTGCAATTATGGATTAATTTATGTACTAGTGTTTGAATAAACATTAAACAATGTGATCTTAATCATGTACATAATGGGAAGTATCTCTTGTTTAAACACAAACTCATCACGTGATTAAAATTGTATAAGTTGTGTGAACATGATGAATTTTTTTCTATTTTGGAGAAAAGAATCATTCATCTATTAATGATGACAATGCCAACTCATGATATCGTAGTCAGAGATGGAAACTTATTTGCTATTTTGTTCGTTAAATTGTTGTACATATTTTTTGTCATTATTATTGCAGATTTTCAATACATCAAAAGGTTATATAACAGTGGAGCTTTACAAGGATGGTTCTCCAGAGATTGTGGACAAATTCCTCGATTTATGGTGAGTGTAATCTTTTCAAAATATTGTCGGTTACTTCTGTTGATTGCAATATTTGGAAATATGGTTCTTGAAGCTGTCATTCTTTGATTTTGTTGTAAATCATAAAACGGAAGCGAAGTGATAAATAAAACAAGTAGAACACATAGATATTACGTGATTCAGCCACTAGGGCCTACATCCACGACACGAAGAGCCCAAAGGGCTACATCACCTTTATAATACTCTCTCAATTCATATACAATATAATGGTGGAGGCTCCTTTATATAGGAGAATAAATTATGAGAATGGAAAGAATTAGAAAATAGGAAACAAGGAGGATTTTTCTCCACAGATTCCTCTAGTAACACCAAATCTTCAATAATAGGAAACAACATCAATTACCGAAAGATTTTCCTCCACTGATTCCTCCATTAAATCTTCAATACTCCCCCTCAAGTTAGAGCATGAATGCCCAACTTGCCATTGAGATGACGAGTAACAACAAGTGTGAATGATGATTAGAGAAGAGAGAAGACAAAGAACAATGCTACCGAACACACCGACAGCCCAAACAAGTCAACAAATCTTCATCCATTAAATCTTCAATAGATTTACCTGAAATCTTTTCATCTTTCAATTACTTTATTTAAACCATATTAAATATCCTGCAAATGCACACTCAAGTTGGCTCTAATGTAAGCCAAATTTGAATGTAACATTTCGTGAGAAAGTTATACAAGTACAAATCCCTTTATCCAGCATTTGATGATGATGGACCTTTTCAAGCCTGCAGTCTCCTAGCACTGACTGTTTGTGACAGAAAATGAGTTTCTTGTCTTAAACATGTTCAGTTTGGTAAATTAAAGGAGGATTGCTGAAGGGTACTTATTCCTACAATTTCTCAGTTGCTTCTCAATGTGGATCTTGTACGAGCTGCTTTGCCTCATTTTTATTTTTATTTTGTTTTTAACTCATTTGAAGACGTGAAGAAAGTGAATATAATAGTTATAGTAGAACTATACATCTGCTACGATTACCTGCTGGCAGGTCAGAAAGGTCAAACTCCAAAGGCAAGCCACAAATGAAGTCGAGATTAATGTAATGAGAGATTTCTTGTAATGTAAAAGGGGCTAATAATATTTCTTCTCAATTTTTAATAACTAGGAGACTAACCTCCTTGAATCATGGAAGAGAGAGATGATAATGTGAACAGAGAACAAGGAATAAATCCTTCCTGCAAGGAAAACTCTTAAATAGTAATTATTTACTAGATAAAGAAAGAGGAGAGAGGAATAGAAGAGTGTTTTCTCAGTATGGTCTAACTCCCCGGAGTTGCAAAGACATCTCACTTTAGCAAGATGCAGAGCTTCTTGCATTTATATTTATTATACTTTTCAGTGAGTGTATAAAGAATACTTCTCACATCCACATGCAAGAAAAGTGAAGCATAAAAAATATACAAGCAGCCACATTTCTTTCATGGAATGCCTTGAGGAACATTCCATGAGTTGACATCTACTTTCTGAAGTACAAAACAAACTAGAATGAGAAAAAGATCATCAAAACAATACCTTTTTACATTGGCCCTAAACAAAGGCCAATGTAGACTTGGGCTAAGACCTCTCTAGATCAAGAATTAAGTAGGATGGACTATCTATAGGGGAGCTGTTTTGTGTTGAGTACTATGTCAGACAAGGCATTTCTCCAACACTTCTAGACATGTGGTCAGTGTCCCTTATAAATCCTAAATTTTAAGTAGCCTAGTTGACATGATGTTGACACTTGTAGACACGCCAAGATATGGTTCTTTTTTTTTTTCTTTCTTTTTCCTTTCCCCCCTTTAGATGTTAAAGGTATGGGCCATTACCTGGTGCAGTGGTGAAATGTTTCAGGCTTTCAAGCATACGGATGTTTGTTTGGATTTGAGAGCAGTCACTTTATGCAAAAAATTTTTAAAGGTTAGGTATGTATCCAATTTGCCCCTCCCGGAATCCTCGATTAATGGGGATCACATTGAAAAATAACCCCTTTTTTTTCTATAGGTGTTTGAAACTATAATAGCAGTGTTTTTCAACATCATTGACCATGTTAGGTCAATAGGACTTATGATTAGTGATTTTTGTATCCAAAAGTCTCTAATTTGATTTTTGGTTTTAGTTATAATTTTGAAAGTTAGTAGTATTAAGTTAGTTACCTCTCGTCTAAGGGAAGATTAGGTATTGAAGCTACATTCAAGGGCAAAAAGGTAATCTTCAAGGCTGAGGGTATAATGGTAAATTGACATTCATATATGCACTCACCAAATTAGGTTTGTGAATTATCAATTAGGGTTTCTTAGATTTTATGCTTGATTCCTAAAAATCCTTTTTGATATGCTTTTTAAGTTTTTGGAAACTTGTATCTTTGAGGTTCTCTAGTGTCAATCAATCGACACTCTCCTCGATCGATTGAGCATTGCGAAAATCAAGTTCCCTTTTTAGTTTAAAACTTTAATACCCTAATTCTTTCAACTCGAAAGACAGAACAAAGAGTTCTCTCTGCGGCATAAATGTCTGTTCTCTATTCATATGTTCAGTAGCCAAAGCTATAAAACTATTTATTTTGTCTATAGATACTCCTATTTTGAAAAACCTAAGAGACATAGAAAGGCTTGTATTGAGAGTGGAAGAAAACAGCTTTTGTTTTTCTTTCATCAGTCATCATTCATTCTAGATTGGTTAGTGTGTTTATATTTATTGGATCAACTTTTGCTGCTGAGCAGCCTGAGCTTAATTGGAATTCAACACGATTCGGTCACTCTACAGAGATTGAGTTGATTGACTAACTGAGAGATCAAAGTACTAGAGAAGAAGCAGATTATGTAGGAAGCAGCATCTGTTGCCAGAGCAGACCGTGTGCGCCTGAAAACTCCTGTGAAGAGTTTGGTGGATCAGTCTATGTTGAGAGGTAACTAGGGGTTATAGGGTTATGAACTGTTAACCTGGTGTAGATTTCGTTCTTATAGTAGATTTGATCTGTTTGGTCTAGGTCCGTGGCTTTTTGCCTTAGGGTTTCTCGTAAAAAAAAATCTTTCTCCTTTGCACACTTTTGATTTAAAACTTTTTATATTACGCACATGATCAATTTTATGTGAATAGCATGATGGATTGAGTGGATTCAGATTTACTGCATGAATAAAAAAGGGCAAACCTAGTGCTCGAGGCTCCCGCCACTTTGGGCTCTACATGCAGAGGCTGTTTTCTTGATTTGTTGCATGAATTTAAGTTTTAAATTAGGGTTAAAATCACAAAACCCCCTCTACTTTCAAAATCGTGCATAAAACCCCCACTAAAATCAAATAGGTCCCTGAACTAACAAATTTGATCATATTACCCCGATATCCGTATCCCCGTTAAATGGGTTGTGAAAAGACAAAATTGACCTTATAATTTAATATTAAATTAAAAACTAATAATTATTATTTTAAAATTGCAAAAATACCCATAAGTGTGTCTTCTTCATCTTCTCTCTACCTCTTCTCTTTACCCACTGATTTCCTCAAATACATATAATATAGGGTTAAGTGCATTAAACCTCTCCAAACTATGACCCGATTGCAACAAACCCCCCTAAACTAAAAATAACCCCCAGAACTATAGAATTGTTGCGCTTTAGGACAATCCGTCAACAACTGTTAACGGAAAAAGTAATTAACTTTTTTTCCCTCAAGTTGAAGGGCAGCTATTCTTTTATTTTCCAACTTGATATACTGACGTGGCAAGGCAATCCTACTGACCAATTAAAAAAGGACAGCACATCATAAGTTCATAACCTTATCATAATAGTACACTCTTGGTTATATCTATTTCTCGCGGCAAACAATCCTTCCCTTCAGTTATATGCATGAAAGCTATCACAGACTACGTTATATGTATATATATATATATATATAGACTGAATCATTCCTTGCTAACTTGCGGTTCATCGTTGTTTGATCCAAACTCAGACATTGATTTCATCTTCGTCCTTAATTGCAAACTCAGCGGTTGATTTCATCTTCAACCTTATTACAATTGTTTGGTTATATTGATTTCTAGCGTCAAACAATCCCTTCCTTCATTTGCACATGATCTATTGCAAGAGTTCTCCAACAATTTATCTATTGGATTTGGATGGATAGAGAAGGAAAACATTAGCAAACTTAGAAAAGAAAATGGTGTCTGAGAGTCGCGGATGGTGATGGGTTTGATTAATATAGTAGAATGACGGAGTAATTAGTAACATATAGAAAGCTGGGTTATGGGTCTCTATCTCATTTTTCTTCATTCTCATCATCATCGAGGTCCTTGGATCTCAATGTTTTTGCTTCTTCCGTAGCTGAATGTTGTTCCTGATGGTGTCTGCGATTGGTATTGGATCCTTACTCCATGGCTCGCCATACCCTTTCCGATCACCTTCCATCCGGAGTTCTATGATTGGGTTCTAGAAAAACTCTCTGATTTTGTATTGTAAAGAAAAAAATAACTTTTTGAGGGCAACACATACACTTGTTGGGATCTCCATTGAAGCTCAGTTCTCTTTCTTCCTTCCTTCCTTGAATTAGTCAGTAAAACAAACACTAAAAGATAGGCAATAGTTCCATCACATTAAAAAATAATTATTAATCATCATCTTCAATTCCATTAAAGAATACCGGGATGAACTATTCAAGAGAGAATCAGAATTGGGCATTTTCTCTCTCTCTACAATACAAAATCAGAATTGGGTTTTCCGGTTTAAACCGTAGAAATAGTGAGTTGAAGTCAAAGAGAAATAGAGATAATCAACTGAATGTGGGAGCGAACAAGAGAGAATTGTTGAGAATTGAGAGTGTGAAATAATGGGAATTTTATTTTATTTAGCAACATACAGGGAAAAAATATATAGGCAAACAACAGCCTACAAATCTGGAATATAGACTCCTAGAATACAATCCCTATAAATCAGGGATATTACATTCTAATTACAGGACATATATACAGCTGTAATACACGTTTTCTCC